ATTATATGTAATGTTTATTTAAAATCATCATTTACCTTAAATATTTTCTAAAACTTGTATTTGTATCAATCAACCTATTACATTATTATGAAATGTTTTAAATATATTATGAAATATTAAATTTTATTTATTTTTAAACATGTCCTTTTGGTCATCTTACATTTCCAACTAGTTTATCAGCTAGTTTTACCAAATGTATTTAGTTCATCAGCTAACTTATTAGTCATCAGCTAACTCATCAATTATTAGCTAGCTTATCAGCTAGTTTGCCAAACATAGCCAAATATTGATCCCTGGATTCCTAAAATGTTTAGGTTATGTTTGGAAAACTAGATGGCAAACTAGTTGATAGTTGATAAGCTAGCTCGACAAAAACTAGCTGATAAGCTAGATGAAAAATGTCAAATGACAAAAAAAAAAACATGTTAAAAAATTAGTCATTTACAACATTCTATGATATAATTAAAATAAATTCACAATAATATAATATGTTAATTAATACAAACAAGATAATAAAAAAAAATTAAAGAATATATATGTTAACTAGAAGAATTTCAAATTAATTACTATATATATATATATATATATATATAATTTTGGATTTGTTAAAACAAATTGTTAGAAAAAATCTATGTTAATTTATGATTTTAATAGCCATTATATAGTCTGAGTAAAAATAAAATTGAGCAACCTCATCATCCTAATTAATTAATTAATAATTTAAAAAAAATTCAACTAAACATTAAATTAAATATTTTATTATATATTAAACAAAAGAAGTAAAACCTTACTTTTTTATGTAACTTAAATAAACATTTTTCATCCGTTCATATATGAACTTTTAAATCCGAACATAGATTCATATGTCAATCCTAATCCATAACTTGCACGTGAATCACTTTAAACTTTGTAATCGATATTTTAGATCATTTAAGTTTCGTACATGAATTATAAGATAGAATCACATATGAATCTAGATTATAACTTGTACTTAAATCAATTTATAATTTATAATCGATATTCTTAACCAGTTTAAGATTCAAACATGAATATATATATATATATATATATATATACACACACACACACACATTCAAACGAGAACAATGATTAAATAAAAAATACGAAAACAACCAAATCACGTAGAAAATTACACGTGATTTTACACTAACAATCAACGCAAGGGTGTGTGATGTCAAGGCCAAAGTTGCATAAATCACATGTGATTTTACACACGATTTTAGTATAAAATCATATATAATTTGATTATTTTCTTATTTTTTTTAATTTAGTAATTGTTTTTGTATAAATGTGACTCTCTTTCTCTCTTATATATATATATATATATATATATATGATGGATCTTAAATAAAGATAATGAAATTCCATATAAACTTATCAGTGAACAGATGAAAAAAGTGTAAAAACATGTATATAAAATTAAAAAAATGATTATTTTTTGATATAATTTATTTAAATAAAATATTGATTATATATTATATAATTTAATTGAAAAGAAACCAAGTAATCTAATTTCTATTTGAAAAAGAAAATGGGTATTTTTTACGAAAAAGGAGTGGATTATTGATTTAATAACTTGGTTTAGTGATTTAATTATATAAAAATTTCAAGATACTCCCCTCAACTTTCTTAGATTTTTTAAAATAGTTATAACTTTTTTTATATTTACATATTTTCTGCTTAAGATCTTGACCATTGAAAAATCTAACATGATGGTTGAGATCCTTTTTCACGTCTCAAAATTTGGAGTTTAATCATTTAGAAACTCTAAATTTTTTGAGATCTTTGAGAATTTATATCTTAAGGTTTTGTTTCTCATGAATTTTTTCCATCTAAAATAATATTTAATGTATTGATTAACATATATTTGTTTCACAATATGTTCGTTTATATGTATTCGGCTCAAAATGTGAAACTCTTTTATGTGTATTTTCTTGTTTCACAACCATGCCAAAAAAGTTCACATTAAGAACCGAGTATATGTGAAACAAATTCATTGTGAAACAAATATATGATAATCACTACATTAAATTCTAACCACAGATGGAAAAAGGTCATATAAAATATTACATAATGCACTAGGTTTCAGAGATTTCATTATTTATAGTGTTTAAAAAAAGGTTCCCGTATATATATATTTGTGTGTATACTGTATAATTTTGCCGAAATAAATATTATATGCTTAATATATATATTTTTGTCTTCTCCATTATATCATATTATTTTACTTTAATTTGTAATTTTCTAACATCCATGACTTCCATAGTTTAATATGATGTATTATTTGAATTTTAGTTGTTTTCTAGCTCGAGGCTAACATCGTCTCCGACTGTCTCAAGGCTTACGCCTCACCTTTTCTTGCTCTTCGTACTCTAAAACCTTGAATCTATCATTAAACCTCATCACATGTACATTAATAATTCATTCCATATCTTTCATACCCGTCTCTCTTGAATTGTTCTCTTGAAAGCTAAACACCATTAAACAATGTTCAAACATAGAGTTTAATACTTCTGATGATTCTTTATTCTAAAGACAATACTTGACATAACCGCCTCTCATGAATGAACGGTAAACATTCTTAACTTTGTTGAATGAGCATCCTTGAGACCATCTAGTTGTCTCGATATGGTGAAAAGAATATTATGACTATTAACAATGTCACTGTTGTATTTTGATCTGTCCGACCACAGGAGATCATTGCTTGAAAACTGAGAGATTACAATAGCATATTTTAAAGCTTAAATTTGAGTTTTGATTATTAACAAGAATGGAACACATTGACATCATCCATAAAATTGTTAAAAATGTATTTGATTTCTTAGGTTTTTATATCGTATTTTGTAAATATAATTGATTTTTATTTTATATTAGGGTAATTATTTTGTGAAAAAGTTTGTGCATATTTATGAGGTGCGTTTGGTTGCAGCAAAAAAACAAAAGCCACTGAGTGAATTGTTGCATGAGTTTGAATTACCAGCGGGTATCTTTCCTCGCGAAGCCAAACATTACGAGTTTGACAACGAAACAAAAAAGCTAACAGTGACCTTACCGACAATATGTGAAGTTAGTTATAGAGACTCATCGGTTTTGAGGTTTTCGACGAGTGTGACAGGTCATATTGAGAAAGGAAAGATAAGTGAGATAGAAGGACTGAAAACAAGAATAGTGATCTGGGTAAAAGTTACTTGCATTGTTTGTGAAGAAATGAACTTGCATTTCACAGCAGGGTTGGGGAAGACGAGGAGTAGAAAAGTGTATGAGATGGTTAGAGACGGAATAACTGTAGATAAGTTCTGAATCTTAAAGGCTTGAGGTTGCCTTCCAAAAGTTGTATTTTTTGTTTTTCTGTACAAAGTGTATATCTAACTAATTACTTCTTCATATGTCTTGTTAAAGGGCAGCTCTTCTCGATTACACAATTAATGACTTTTAAAATTACCATCATTTATTGGTTAACAATGACCGAACACAAAATTTTAACTGTAAATTGTTGAAAAATTGATTTGATTTCTTTGGAGTAGTTATGTTATTCTAATTTTAATCTCGTCGTTGGTGGATTCAGACACAAACTGGTCTTGTGGTTGTATGAAAATTATGGATTAGTTCCCTCAAACAAAGTAATTGCAACCATGAACATTGTGCTTTTATTTTTGTTATGAATTGGGTCCTTTATCCTAACTTTGTTAACCTAAACTCTGATAAGTAAGGGGTGTTTTGGTAAGTTAACTGTTTTTCATTTTCAATTAAAAACTAAAAAAATTAATGATTCTTATATTATATCTTTATGATTATATATATATATATACACACACACACACACACACAACACACATAAGCAAATGATCGTGTGAAAAAAGCAGTTAAAGTGAGAAGCATAAGAAGGGATTTGGACTCTTGATCACCTTTAATCTCAAACCCATCCATGAATCACTCTTGATAAAGAGAATTGATCTTGTACATCTCATCCTAATGTACATCTAAGGGTTGGGATCCCTTCTTATGATTGTCACCTAAACTCTCCTTCTCTGCAGGACACAACCCCATACATATATGTGTATATATATACATATATATATATATAATTTACATAGAGGAAAAACAAGCAAATTTGCTTCCTTTCCCAAGACGCTTCTTATCCATTGAGCTCCCCCACCAAAGTATTGGTCTCAACCATTTAATTTGATAATAACACAAATAACATTCGATCTAACACTTAGAAATATTCTTGAAGTTTTGTCTTCCTTCAAAATAAAACAATTCGTATTGGCACCTGGAAGTCAAGCATCCAAAAATAATATCTAGATTAGCAATATGTATTGCTTATCCGTATTCTCACTTGAAAAAGACATCCAGATTTGTGTAATGGATTTGATGTTTCGGAAGCCAAGAGGATTCAGATATATACAATATTCAGATTCACTACTTCATAAAATCACGAGTCTTGTTGGAATCTGAAAGGTAAATTTAGAGGTAGGATTTTTCCTTTGTAAAAGTATTATTATTATATATCTATACTGCTCCAGGAGCAATAAAATCTTAAACAAAATCGAAGACTAGTTAAATAAAACGAAGATTGTCACCAAAGCAAATTGGATTGTGTTCTAGCTGAATGAAGATCAATACATATTAAAGTTAAAAGTAGTCTGACAAATACTACTTATGGCAATCCGCATTTTTAGTGCAAACTTAACCAACAAGTTTAGCTCACCAACTCTTGTCCTGGTATAGGCATGATTGGAATGACAAACAAAATAAGTTCTAAAAGTACTACTACCTTATTATTATCACACCTCTTTTATTGTTCCATCTACATAAATGAGGATGGGTTGTGTTAATAAACGTCTATATCATATCTTCAAGATACTCAAAGACTAAAATGAGGAGTACAAACATGCACTATCTACAAATTAGATGAAGACACGTTAAAGTTGAATAGCAACATTTATAACAAGGGTGGCTACAAAAGGCCATCATTGTCAAATGTTGTAACTCACCCGTTTTGATATGAATTACTGAGTGATAGTTTCTTAGGCAAAATTGACATTAACTTCTGAAAACTATCTTAGTCTTTCAGATGTAAAAGAGTACCTTCTTCTTTTACTCTTTAGTTTTTAGCAAATTTGTCACCAACCAGATTGCTTAGGATCACGTCTTACCTCCTAGCTAGCTTCCACAACAAATTTGTAACTCTTTGTTTTCAATATACTTACATAATCAAAACGTGAAAATCTATTGTGATCGTATTCAAACCAACTTCTACAAACAATTTATGTGTTAGTCATTACCATTCTACGACCAACAACTGGTATCAGAGCACATTGTTTGATTTCACAAACAAGATTTGTAATGACTTCCACAAATAATGATCATGAGACTCTATTCAAACCTCCCCGTTTTCAAAAAGTCAAAATTTCTATTTGGAAAAGCGAAATTATTCTTTTTCTTGAAGGGGTTGATGTTCTACAAAACGGTCCATACGTACCCTCACCTTCCTAACAGACTATCGAGATGAAAATGACAAAGTCACCGGACCAATAATATCTAGATTAATGGATGGATGATGATAAGAAACAAGTTGAAGTTGACACCAAAGCCGGAACAATGATCGCGATGTCTCTACCAGATGTTTCCATCACTCTATAATGAAGTTGACTTCTACAAGAGATATGTGGAATACTCTTACCCTATACGGAGACACTTAACGTAAAATATAGCAAAAAGATCAGCCTCATCATGCATATGAATTATATGTATGCAGTTAAAATAAATCTCTCACATATGTAAATAATAGGTTCAATTCTCTCTTAAATGATCTCAAAGTACATGAAGAGGTTTTTGATAATGCTGAGGTACTATGCAAGTTTATGGACAGTTTGCTAGACTCATGGAAAAACATAATTGTGTGTTTAAAAACTTCTAAGGATCTTCACCATATATCTCTTTCTACTTTATATGAAACTCACACAACTATGAACAAACTAAGTTACTCAGTAAAAATGCATTTCAAGAATCCATAAGTAACACCATTCATTTATCTCTTTCGGTTCCAAAAATTCAAGATCAATACCACTTCCTTTATCCGACATGGATCCTGTCATTGTTGGTCCACTAGAGAATCAGATAGTGGGAGAAATGAAATTTTCATACAAGACATTAGTGACTCCCTATCATTAGTCGCATCAATTTTTAATAAAGTTTTCAAAAAAAGTGGTTCCATAGGAAGGTCAAAAGAAAGATTCTTAAAAAAGGAACCTTTCATTAATCAACATGTCAAGCCCAAGATCTAAAGCAACATCCAAGTTAATAGTGCCCTCTTCTTCACTCTTTCACCCATAACATGTTTGAAATTGATCTATGGGAAATATTAAATACCTTACTTTATCAAAGTTAGTCGTGTAGAAACCAAGTAGTTCAGGGACATCCCAAGGGTTCTGATTAATAAGGTCATTGTCACAAAAAAACATAAATGTCATCATATTGTCTCTAGACTGTTTTTGTCAGTACTTAATACTTGTGACCTAATATTTTTGTTCAATGAGGTATTTGGATGGAGTGGCTCCAATAGATGATTTTCTAAATGGTTTTGATTAAAAATGTTTCTATCGAAAGTTTTCAGGGTAAATCTATGGAGATTGGGTTTCGAGATACAACTTATTGAAAGATGAGATGAAAAAAAAAAAGAAGAGAAACCACATACCTAATTCTCTGATATCATATGATGATGGATATTGAGATTAGTTCATCAATGGATCATACTGAAGAACGAATCACCGAACCAAATGCTTCATTGCTTTTGATGGAGAAAAACAATTATATGTATCTAATACAACAAGAGGTAGAACAAAAATCTAAACAAACCTGGTCTAAGAAAAGAAGAATGACAAAAGAACCACTACACTATTCATATGGACATAAACAACCCTTATACTGTACATATGGATATAAATAACACTGACACCCATTTATTCTTGGATTAGCTCTGTTTATCCTCTTATTTTCGTAATTTTAGATTCCATTTGAGCTAAAGTGACCAACCCATACAAAGATGATTTTAACCTTATTTGTTTAATACATTTGCACACCAAGACATTTATAATCGCACACAATAAAACTTGTTCACATCATGAAATAGAATACAATATTAAAAGCTAGAACAAAAACCTTTAGAGATAAGGAATCATCTGCTCATTGAATTGGAGTACTCCCAGGTGAAATCACTCCTTCCACTTGATGATCAATGGGGATTGGACTCTGGAGTGGATTGACTGTCGTATGATCTTCTACACCCATATGACTGCCATCTATGGTTTCTTTTATCGAATTCCTAGAGGACTTTTGATATTTCTCCTCATCAAAGCTTCGTATGATTGCGGCCAACTTTTCGTATATTGAGCCTTGTGACGTTAGTATCTCCTTGTTTTCATACATGAATTTAAATAGGAAGACGACCAACGCAAATGTCGAGGAAAAACCAGCGATATAAAAAAGACCTCTAAAACTATCCAATTTCAGCTTGTCAAAGGGTTCAACCTGATTATCTTTCTTAGATAATTGCGCTTCATCTTCCATCCATCTATTTGATATGTGTGTCATCGTATCATCCTCTATTAATCTCAATATTGCTTTTGAGAAATCGGATACCATCAGTGATCCTTTTGGAAATGCCTGTTCATAACAACTTACTTTCCATTAATTCCTCATTTTCATCTTGAGGAGCTATTTGGTTTAGGAAGGGTAATTTGTTCCACCAGTTTAACCAAAATGAAAATTTGGACTTCTGGAAGAATAAACCAATTATATCATCTAAAATCAAACATTTTTCTTTTATTTTCAATCTAATTAATTATTGTTTAATAGTTTCAACCAAACACCCCCCTTTGTTATAATTCAATTAATTGGCATGCCTACCATTTATACTACAACAATATTATATTTATATGAACACTAAAAATGTTTTAGTGAAAAAAAGTCATCGTAGAATGTTCTCTAAGACTTAAATTTATATGATTAAACAATTTTAATTCCTATGTAAAAAGAATGTGTTAAGTTTATAGGACACTTTTGAATATTTAAACAAGTGTTTGAAGACAATTTTAAAATACGTGTCCTGTTAGTTTTTCCATATCATGTCATATAAATACATATTTTTACAAGACACTCGTTTTTATAAGACATTTTTTAAAAAAATATCATTTAAAAATAATAATAGGACGATTTATTTTAAAAAATGAATTAAAAACTTTTTAAAACGTCTAAAAATGTTCTATTTAACCATAATATAACAATTTTACATAATGCATAAACTTGTTTGGTTTTATAAAGTTAAAAGCGGTATAAAACACTTTTAACAACTTTTTTCTAGTAAGCTTTAAGTCGTTTTTGAAAAAAAACACACACACATATATATATAGAGGCTCACTCAAGGGAGAACTGATTAGTTTGTGGTAACTGTGAGATCCAATGTGAACAACTCGTTTGAGATATTTAAGGATATTTCTTAACTAAGTTAAAAGGGTAATATAGTAATTCTATTTTTTGACAATTAATCAAAATGTTTAATTAAATTTTTAAAAGGAAATATTTAACTAAAATTAGTTACTTAGTATATGAATTACCTAATATGCATCGTATATTTTTAAAGACGTTTGTGAATTAAAGTGTATCATAGTGATAATGTTCACAATGTTTCACGTGTATCACAATGTATTTTATTTGTTTTATGAAATGTATCATTGTTTTACAAAGAATACCACATTGTGCATCTTATATATATGTATATATATATATATATATATATATATATCTGGGTATCACACTGTGTAACTTGTGTTTACATAAGGTTCATTGGAAATAAGGTTCGTCGAATAAGATTCGCCGAAGAGAGGAAAGAGGAAAGATGAGAGAGGATATTTATAAAATCACTAAATGCCCTTAATTAATATTTAATTTAAAATTATTAATTTTCTAATTTAACTTTTGATTTGTGGTTGAGATTGAATATCACAGTTACCCCAAACAAAACAAAAACATTTATTATTTGATTAGGTAATTAATTATATATATATATTAATCAAGGAAAATGGACAACTTACAAAACCGAAGCCTGCAGTGTTGAAGATTGGTCCCACCAATGAATACTTAGTATAGTTCTTGGCCTGCAACATCTTGAGATAAGGGAGCTCAGCAACAATGGCAGAAACTCCATTTTTTTTACTTCCTTTTGAAAGGGCATCAGCATACTCTTGGATGTTGGTATACTTCTTCAACTTGTCTTGAGGAAAACCCATCTCCTTGGTCAACATCTCTGCAACAAAGGAACCATCTTGGATTCCCACGTAGTCTCCTCTTGCTTTCAGTTCATATATACTCGTGACAGTTGGTTCGAAGCTTTGTAGCGTTATCATGGATGCTAAATTTGCTGTGTAGCTAGACGTCAGTACAAGAACCGCAAATACCCACACTATCACCACGAATCTTGATAAGTTGCTTATCAACTTCTCCTCTGCAATTAATCCCATTTTGTTTAGTTTTTGTTATACAGACATCAATAATTAATACGCCTAACCGTCTTAATATAATAATTTATACAACTTAACTGTATAGCAACAAATCATATATAATGCATCATATATATATATATATATTTACGAATTACGATTATATTACTTACTGTGCGAATAGACAAGCGTGGAGAAGGAAAACCACAAGAGGGTTCCAATTTGTCGATCACGAGGGCCACGAAATTCTTTGTTTACGCGATGCTCAATAGCCCAAACTACAAAACCAGTGTAGATAAAAAACGCTGCTGTTGTTATCCAAAGCTTCGTTTCAAAAGGCCTCATAAAAATCCATTCACTCTTCACGTCAGCAACTTTAACCGGAACAATCATGGAAACCCCAGACTCTGAGTACGGAGTAGTGAAATCAACATACCGTGACCTATTCCCCAGGATGGTAACGTCTCCCACCACCATGTCAAATTTCTACTCATCATAACTTTAAATAATTAATATATAGCAAAAATAATAATTAAATATGAAACCCAACTACCATAAAATATCTAAGCCTACTAATTGAATATTTAAATTTGTAGCACAAAATTATAAAACCTCCTGTTACAATATATAGGTTTGTTTGGATGTTTTTGGTGTTTTAACAAGTTTTTAGTATCTTTTTTTGACGTTCTAGCAAATCTTTTAGGACAATTTTAAAATAAACTGTCGTATTAGCTATTTCGTACGACACTTTTGAGCAATGTCATATTCAACCCATCATTTTTTATAGGATATTTTTTCAAATAGTGTCGTATAAAATATAGCCAATACGAAGATTGATTTCAAAAATCTCCAAATTCTTTTGAAACATCTAAAAGTATGCTACAAACCTATTAACACTTTTAGGCAAGATGTTTTTTTGTTTCGGTTTTATAAACATAAGTCATATAAAATATTTTATTATGACACACCAACAAAACTAGCTTATAAGACGCTTAGATTACTTAAGAATCCTAATATAATAATTTATAGAACTAGGATCAAATTATATAACGTCTTATCTAAAAGCGTTACAATAGATTTATAGGATGATATTAAACGTTTTAACAAGTTTTTTAGAACACTTTAAAATAAAGTGCCTCCTAATTAGCTATTTTATATAAACTCGTCTTTTTTATAGGATACTTTTTCAAATAGTATCGTATAAAATTGTTAATACGATACCTTATTTTAAAACGTCATAAACAACTTTTTAAAACTTTTAGAAGCGTCATATAAACCTATTATAACACTTTTAGATAACACGTTTTTTGGTTTGATCCTATAAATTTAAATGTTGTAACGACACTTAAACATTTTAGACATGCTATCAAACCAATTTTGTCGTACCAACAAGTATACATGCATGCATTAGTTAATTACCTGATCAACAATCTGATGAACAAGATGATTGTAATCTCCAGAACTCTGATCAGTATCATTAATTCCATAAGGAATGAAAGTGTAGTCTATAGCATATGGCAATGCGTCTACCACTGCCTTGAAAACATCTACGCAAAATCCACTCGCCTTAGTCTCGTTCGTTTTAGGATCTACTTCGGCATGAATCAACTCAACAAATCCATCTTTTGCACCTGGAACCCCCACTCGTAGCTTTCCATCCTTGCTTGTTGGGATCTCCCAACCTTTAGGGATTTCTACACTATCACCAGGCCATATGATAGCTCCAAAATCATCTTTGTTAGTTGTGTAATTCATGCTCTCATTGTAGCTTGGTTGGTTTGATGTGATTCCATTCTTTGAATTCCAAAACCCGATTCGTTTCTCGTTCTTCTCGATCACATTCACTATTTCGTACGCTATTATTCGTAGTTGTCCATTTATCACCTGAAAATCGCCGCTCAGCAGCCCTTTAAGCGTTGTATTTCGGATGATTGAAACGAGCGAGGCTCCCATTTCTGATGTTCCAATGGCAGTCAAGTCCGTCGAGGCCTTCGTTGGTCTCTTAAAAGTGGTACCAATTAATTCGGTTTCAACTTTCTGTAATGAGGTTGCTAGTGCAAAAACAGAATCATACCACCATATTCCAAACACATCAAGCTCAAATATTCTATCCATTTCAGGGTATTCTTTCTGAAACCTCCTCCTCCATCTCTTATGAAAGTGGGTTAGCTGCTTTGATGGTGGTATATAAGGCTTCACACCTATCACACCATGCATAAACTTTCTATCTTCGGGAACCAAATGATTGAAATGGATAGTGAGCACATCAGTGATGATCCATGCAGACCCTCGAGTCATCATTCTAGCTTCATCGGCTTTCTTGAAGAACCGTGAAGCAAGAGCCGGTAACATGTGTACCACGAACACCCGAGTTTGCATGGTCTTTAAGTTCTGAAGTTGTTGATTAATCAAATCATCAGAGGAGGAAGGAGGCAACAGGATGCATCGATTCACGTGAGTAGTAATGTTTTCCATGGCATCAGATAAATAGGGAATGAGGCCCCTTCCGAAATCAGAATCCTCGAAAACCAAGACGACTTCCCTCCATCCGAAGGACTTGATAATGGCTGCAATGGGTTGGGCTTGTGTGGAGGAAGCTTGTGCTGTGCGGATGAAGAAGTTGTTTGCATTTGGGGAGAGATCAGGACTGGTGGCTGAGGATATCATGGGAACCTTGGATTTCTCAGCAATATCAAGTATAAAATTTGCCTGAGACGATTGTTGGGGTCCAAGAATTGCCATGACTTGAGAGTTTTTTAGAAGGTCTATGGCTGCAAACACATTTTATTTTGAATTTAAAATGAGACAAGAAAACTGTAGTTAGTTGGAGAAGAAACCAATTTTTGCATTTGGTCAAAATGGTAACAAATGCCTTATTATATCTATTTAATTAGGGTGACATATTTTTTTTTTTCACAATTAAAATAATAATATTTAATTTAGATCCATAACAGATAGATATTGTCTACTTGGATGTCAAATTATCAAATTAGTTATATGAAATTGATATTAGGTGAAAAAATGTCTTATTAAAATCAACAAATCTCTCTCTCTTACAAAAAAAAAAACACACATATATATATATATATAGAGAGAGAGAGAGAGAGTGGGTGAGTTATTATGCAACTCTTTACATTTGTATAATCAATACAATTCAATCTCAACCGTTTATTTAATTTGATAAATATGTGATTTCATAAAAGTTTTATTTTTTCCTGATATAAAATATTGAACATAATTAATAAACTCTAGTTATTTTCCATAAATATTCAAATCATAATAAATAAACTTTTATCATTTCCATAAATATCTCAATTAATT